ATTAATAATATATAAAATAAATAAATAATAATAATAATAATAAATTAAACTTTTTAAATATTTTTAAAAAAATTAATATAATTTTATTTAAAATTTTATTTAATTTTATTAACTTATTGTTAGGGAGCGAATGCGAGCTGTATAAGAAGGAAACTCTCTGCGTTGCTAACTGCTATGTAACGAAATTCTAAGGTTGGGTGTCAGGGTCTGCTCGGATTATAAACAGCCCACGTGATTACGTGACCAGATCACGACCGATCCACTAGGTTACATGTGGGGTGTGGTCACGTGATGGAGATAAACCTAGCCCCGGCGCCGAGCCTAACACTTATTATTATAGTTTATAAATATTTTTTATATATTTTAAAATTAAAAATTATAAAATATTAAATTAATTTTTTATAAAGTTATTATATAAAGTTAAATATTAAACTTTAAAATAAATTAAATGAAATATAATTATTTTAAATATATTAAAATAAAAAATTTTTATTTTTATTATAGAATATAAATATATATTTATATATTATTTTTTAAAAATATTTAATTTAAATTATCTTTATTTTTAATTAAATTTTTATATAATTATTTTAATAATTTTATATATTTATTTATAAAATAAGTTTTATAATTATTTAAACTTAATTTTATTTATCAACTATTTAATTATTTTGGTATTTAAAAATAATATATAAAATTAAATTTTAATTAAATATATTTATTAATTTATTAATAAAAACTTATTCATAATTTTTAAATTATAAAACTTTTATATAATTATATTTTTTAATATTTATAGTTATATATAATTTTATTAAAATTATATTTTTTTATATTTGATTTATTTATAATTGTAATATTTAAAATATTAACTTTGAAATTTATAGTATTTTATTAGATTAAAACTAAGTTTTTATCAATATAAAAAGCAAAGAATATAGGATTTTTAAATATTCAAAAATAACTTATCATATTTTTAATAAAAGAAGATTTAAAGAGAACTTTTCATATGATTAACCTCTGCATTTATTGAATAAGAATTTCTTTTCAACTTTAGTCAATCAGTGTGAAGTTATAATTATAAGCTTATAAGTACTCTGTAGAGAACAAGCATTTAGTCAATTAGTTTAAGTAAGGTGTGAAATGTTATACAGCCATGCTGCTTCACAAAATAGAGATAATTTCTTCATTTTTAAAAGCAATAGTTGAAAATTTTAATCTTTCCCTCTATTTCTATAAAATTTCTTTTATTTTTATTGTGAATTGATGGCATTCTGATGTGTCAAAGCTGGCAAGTTGGTAAATTAATTTAGTTATGCGTCTCAAACTGACAAGTTGAAAACTACATGGCTAATACATCTTTATTCAGCCTCACCACCCTCAACACCAGGGTTAGCGGGTAGGTTAGGATTAAAGGTAGTTTAAGAATAAAAGTCTTGAGAAAATATGATAGAATCACTACTGTCAAGAGCATAAAGAATGTGTGAGATATGACGTTGTATATACCGAGTAGTTTTTAATTATTGGGAGGGTGTCGTGATTCAGAAGCAGTTGACTAAGCTTATCTCTCCATTGCAAGCCTCATCAGGCACCAAACTTGAAAATCACAAAAAAAAAAAAATGAAACCTTTGCAAAAGAGTCACAGGCCAAGATCAGACCTCAGACAACAACACCACCAACAATGACAAATGCGCCAGGGAAATGGAAGTGTGATAGTCTTTGTCGGGATCAAACACAGCCATTCATTGACTGTTAAACATATATCATTCCCTCAACATCTATCTTGCGCTTGCAATTTCTCTCCACATTTGTATTATCCATCTTTATTTACGACAAGGAGCTTTAGTGATTCACTCCCTGGGGCAGGTCGCTGTTGAATGTTCAAGGACGGCGGGTAGCGATGGGTCCGAAGTCCAAAAGTGGCGGCGGGGCCTCTGCCAGACAGCAGAAGTCGCAAGCTGCAGAGGATGAGCGGGAAGAGGCGCTTCAGGCTGTTGTATGTGACTCGGTTTTCTATGGTTATTATTATGATCATTATTATTTTGCTATAGCATGCGTTTGGTGCTCCAAGGGCAAAAGAGGCGCGCAAACTGCGTATCGCAACTTTGTTTTCGAATCTTATATAGCTGACTTGTGTTTTTAGGTTTTGGCCGATACGTTTGAAACTCGCTTTGAGCCTTTTGTATTAGAAAAGCCTCGGGTATGCTTTGCTATGTCCATCCTCTCTCTTGATCCTTGAGGGGGGAAGATCCCCAACTAGAGGCATAACTAATTGAAGTTTGAATTGCCTGTGTGAGGGTTTCTTTTAGTGTCTCTTACCGCTCGCAAACACCCCGATAATTGAGTACACCATGGAATTCCTGGCCAATGCTGGTGTTGAAGAAGTATTCCTCTACGGTGGTGCACACTCAGATCAGGTGGAGAGTTATATCAAGTAGGTTTAAGGGTTAAAAAAAAAAAAAAAAAAAAGCTCCCTAGTCAACCTCGCTTTAACATACCCTGTACCAGCACTAACTACGCGCTTCAAATTAGTGCTTCGAAATGGAAATCCCCCTGCTCCCCCTTCAAAAGCTTCATCTTCTTGAAATCAACCTCCACCTCCGTCGGCGACGTCATGCGTGATTTAGACAGCAAGCATTTGATCACCCGCGACTTCATCACCGTCAGCGGCGACGTGGTGAGCAATTACCCAATCGAAGAAGCACTTGCGAAACACCGTTCCCGGCGCCTAAAGGATAAAAATGCTATTATGACAATAGTCCTGCGGGAAACCAATGTTTCGCACCGGTCGAACCCATCCGTGACTTCTGTTTTTTTCATCGACCCCACCAAAGACCGGTGCTTGCATTACGAGGAAATGGAAAGCCGGCCACGGAGAGGCTCTCGTTCATCTTCTCACCACTCGCCGCCGAATTTACTCAGTATCGACCCGGATATGCTGAAGGAGTTTGCGGAACTTGATATCCGGAGCGATCTAGTCGATACCTATATTGACATCTGCACGCCGGAAGTTCTGGGCCTATGGTCAGATAGCTTTGATTATCAGACGCCCCGAAAACAGTTTCTCTACGGCGTGCTTAAAGACTATGAGCTGAATGGGAAAACTATACACACCCATATTATCAAGAAGCATTATGCCGCTCGAGTTCGGAATCTTAAGACTTATGACTCTGTTACCAAGGATATTGTGTCCAGGTACACATATCCGCTCTGCCCAGAGACAAATCTAGTACCGGATCACTCATACAGCCTGAAACGGGGTAATATCTATCAAGAACATGGTGTAATGTATGCGAAATCCTGCCTTATTGGAGGGAAATCTGTCATCGGCCAAGGCTCTAGTCTTGCGGACCATACAACAGTTGAAAACACTATTATCGGGCGACGATGTCGAATAGGCAAGAATGTTATTCTCGATGGCGCATATCTCTGGGACGATGTCACTGTTGGAGATGGGACGGAAATACGACACGCTATCATCGCCAATGGAGCTGTCGTTGGGGATAAATGCATCATTGAAAATGGCGCATTAATCTCCTACGGAGTGAAAATAGGAAATGGGATGACGGTCCGTGAGGGTACGAAAGTTACCCGAGCGGAGCGAGAACAGGGACCCATCCCCAGTGATCCTAAGATTGTTGGGGAGGGTGGGATAGGATACGAATTCTTCCACGAGCAGGATGAAGATGATGAAAGCGATAATGAGAGCGTTGCGTCTTCCGGGTTACGTATGTTTTATTTCCCTCCCCGTTTTCTCTAAAACTCTCGAAGCATTCAAATGTGCTAACTTGCACAATCACAAGTTTACAACATGGCCTCCCTTGCCCTTTCCACCACATCAATATCTACCCTCTCCTCCGAAATATCTGAAGACGGCTACTCCCAGCACTCCAGAACAGGAAGCTTTGGCACCTCCTTCTCCGACGACGACGACGACGACCGCGTCCACTTCCACCATGACGCCGTAACGAGCATCTACGACGGTCTCCGCGACGGCTTAAGCGCTGACGTTGTCCAGCTCGAACTCGTCGGCCTACGTATGAGCGCCAATGCCTCAGAGCACCAGGTGCGTCGTGCCGTCGTCACGGCGTTCCTCAAACGGATCTTGCAGCTCATGGATGCAGATGGGCCGACAGGCCAAGCCCAGTCGGCACTCAGTGCGAGTGAAGCGGTTAAGCAGGTTCTTAGCAAGTATAAGGATATTATCGAGCGGATTGTTTTTGATCGTGATGACCCCGAGGGAAAGAAGCCGGATCAGGTTGATTTGCTCTTGTTGATTCAGCAGGAGCTTGTGGAAAAGGGGAAGGGGGGGACGGTTTTGTTGTTTATGGCGAAGGAGCTTTATGATTTGGAGGCGGTGGAGGAAGAGGCGTTTGTGCAATGGTGGGGGGATGAGAGGGGGGTGGCCAGTGACGGGTTGAAGAGTGTTAGGAGGCAGACGGAGCCGTTCATTGAGTGGCTGGCTAGTGCGGATAGTGAGGAGGATGAGAGTGATGAGAGTGATGAGTGAGGTGTTAGCTTGTCTCGGCTTGTTATTTTCTTGGCTAAGGGCGGGAGTGGTACATATGTCATAACATACATGACATGTAGACGTGTAAAAGAGGCTTATGCTGACATGACGATTCCCATAATTTTGATATGACATTGTGGATGGGGGTAACGGTATCAAAAAAATCAACGGTTGATAATTGATCAACGAGAGTGAGATATAGAAAAGCGCAAATCCATCCACCCATCAGATCCCCTTAGTATCTTTTCGCAATGCACCGTACAAAAAACATCCTGTACACCGAGAACCATCTTCCACCTTCAATTCAAAAATCAAAGGGAAATTGAGAACTGCGTTCCATACATCCATCACATAAAGTGTAGATCATACAACTAGTCTGTCCCGTGCACAAAAGCCCATCCAAAAGAATAGACTGACATCCTAGCACTGGATCGAATCCAATTCGCTCCAACAACGAATCCCCACCAAACATCCATTCTCCTGAACAAACTACACCTCTAAATGGATATTCGCCATAGACCCAGTAACCCCATCAACAGCCCGATTTATCGCCCCCATTCCCATCCCTTTGCCCACGCCCTTTACGGCCCCATCACCAACCGCGTTTTTCTTCTCCACTCCCCCCCTCGGTTTCGGTCGAACCTGCACCAGCGCGCCAACCTTACACTCCCCACACCGGCTCTTCTTCACGTCAATACTCCTCGAATGTCTCCCATACTCAAACCCACACTCCACACAACACCATAGATACTTATAGTGAATAACATAGGAATGTTTCGTCGTGATACGGATGCGTACCTTACCATTCCCACCAGCTCCCCAGCCATAAACGGGATGCTCACTCAACGCTTTCTCGCACTTGGCGGCCCACTGCTTAAAACTGGCTCCGTGTGGATTGTTGCGCACGTTGGAGATGATGAAGTTGGCTAGGTGGCAGTACTCGTGGGCGAGGGTGTTTAGGAGGCGGTCTTCGCTGTCGATGATTTTGGAGGCGAGTTCGATGGTGGCGTGGTGGCGGATGGGGGCGAGGAGGGGGGGGGGGGGTGGGATTTTGTCGGTGTTATTTGAAAATGTAGAGGTGTAAGCGTTAGGTGCTGCTTTGCTGCTGCCATTGGGAGGAGCATTGGGAGCATTGTCTCCGTGTCCGGAAGCTGACAGCCATGAAGCTGTCGCTTGATGCGTGGGCTGGGCAGGTAACCTGTCCCGTTTGAGCATTTCACGTTTCCAATTCGCCCTCCCGGCTGTGGTATTAAGTTTCTTGCTCCACACAATCTTCACCCCACCAGCAGCTGCGGCAAGTTTCTGAATTTCACCACCCGTAACACAATCATCGAGTGCTTTGAGAAACTCCTCCGCCATGGCATCCTTCTTTTGATCGAATTCTTTCTTCTTAACAGCAAGTGCCCGCTGTGCAGCAGCAGTTGCTGCGACTGAGGATTTCTTCACCGGGGAACCTTTGATAGGACTCTTTTGAGGAGATGAAGTTGGTGAACTTGACCCGCTGCTCCTGCCTGCCATTCCCTGATCACCATCGTAATCTTCGTCATCCGAGAAGGGCTGGTATTTTCGCAAACCTGTCTTCGTTTTTCGTGGGGAGTACTGGTCATTCCACGAGTTGATGATATCTTGGCTCCAAAAAGCGTCTATGCTGGGTCGATGGGGGGTTGGTGGGATGCGATATTTGGTTTTGGAAGGAGATTGGAGACGAGGCTTTGAAGGGCTGGATGGAGGAGTTATGAAGTTCGCTCCACTCTGGACTTTTCCTGGGTCTTCTGGATTGTAGAAGGGCGATCGAGAGTTAGGCGGAGAGCTATACGTGTTCATGTATCTAATTAGCCGCTGGTGGTTTCGAGAAAATAGGAGGTTGGGGGGGATAAAGTAACTTACCCTTCCATATTGTCTCCAGGAGCTTTGGGATCAATATCCCCGCGCTTCTTTGGTGAGTTTGACTTTGTAGGAGACGCTGGAGGGGGCTTCATGTCGAAGCTTTTTGGAACAGATAGAATTCCTGATTCCTCACTAGCATCGCCATTCTCTCCGTTCCTGCTGTTCTCAAACAAAGGGGGTGATGGTTGTGGTTTGTTAGATTCATTTGACACACCCCCATCCGTAGCCACATTTGCATTCACTGTAGCTGTACTGCAGTCACAATAAGTAGTGCTGTAATTGGTGTTATTTCCACCAGTCCCTGTGCCTTTTGCTGTTGTGGATGTGGGCCTTGTTCCCCTAAAAAGCTTCCTGGGAGACATGCGGCGTCTGTTGGACACTTCTTCCTCATCCTCTTCATCACTATCCTCCTGACACGACGACTCCTCAAAGTAACTGATATCCTCATCATCCCCAACAATAAAATCATCCAGGGAGTCAAATTCATCATCACTTTCGTCCTCGTTTTCTTCTTCCTCATTCCCATCTTCTTCACTCTCCGACCCAATCCCCCCAGCCTCCCTCCACGCATGCTTCCCCCTAGCCTCCCCACCCTTTACCCCCTTCACACCCCCCTCCCCAGTCCCCCGTACATCCCCTTTCCTCCCCTCCGTTTCCTTTCCCCCCCCTTCCTCCCAAACCCCATGTTTATATTCCTCCCACTCCCCCGGCGACGGTGCATTCTCCACATCCCCCCAGCCCTTCCCAGCCGTCAGCCCATCATACCTATGAGTCGCTGCCGGAAACGGCATGAGAAGCGAATTGGAACGGCGGTGTCCCAATTGTCGTCGCTGACGCATTCTTCGTGTTTGTGTGGGAGCACGAGGGGAGCTGTCATCATCGTCGTCTTCGTCTTCATCTTCATCGCGTTGTGATTTTGGGTTGGAGTTGGCAGTGGCATTTTTATTGGCATTGGTATTCGCCCCAGGAAGGCTCCGCATTGTACCCAACGGTCTTAATGTCCGTCCGCTGGCTGTGCTTGAGCTCGTAGACGTGGTGGTGGTGTTTTTCCGCCTCGTTGCCAGAGGCTTCTGGGTCTTCGTGTGGGTGTCAGCGTCAGAATCTTCCCGGATCTCCAACACCGCTGGCGGTGCTCGATTGAGTCGAGCCATCTCGTGCGTGCTGTGGATGCAAAGTATATGTACGCAAATTGCCTTTTCCAGCAGGTTTTTATAACCTGGATTGTACTGTACGGAGTTTGACGAGTGGAGGTGTCTGGACACAAAATAAAGCGACGCTAATTGGCTCGCGAGCTCCTGGTTAGTACAGAACGTTTTGCATCTGTGTCGGAGGAATCCGTGTCTGACTTACCAAGAACTCTCGTGTAATACAAATAAACAAATCCTGCTTCCTCCTCTCTTCCCGTTATTCCTCGTCGAATTCTTATATCTTCATCATCATTGTCTCTCTTCCGTGGTTGTAGAGCGTTGCATGGTGATATTGTTTGACGCTGGTTGACCGGGTAACTAGTTAACTAACGAACCCAACTTTACTTTTTAAACCTACCAGCAAACTCCATGACATCACTCGTGTGCAACGTTGAGAATCACTGGTTAACTATATGTTTAAAGTTAACCAATACTGTTTGTTACTAACTAGTTATAGATATACACACTTTCATTATAAGAACCTGGAAGATTCACATGTGTTCTACAGAATATCATATGAAATTTAAGAAACTGACCCCCTTGTGCGGTGGTTATTTCGTAAACCTTCAGCCGCTCTATAACCGACTGACATATTTCCAAGAGAATCAAGTCAACAGTATCCATGGAAAAGAAGCTAGGATATTTTTGAACCATTACCTGTGAAATACCATGCAATATATATGTCAGTCAGTTCACCATCCCAATTTCCCACCCGCATCAGCATGGAGTAGACTCTGCTTCTTCCTGCTTCTCCCATCTCGTCCAACACCTCCACCACAGGGCAACGTAACGAACCGCAAGAACGATTAAATTAGAGTAAATAATATAGAGTAAAGAGTGAAATATAAAAAAATACCTGCTTTACCTATGCAAAGGAAACTAATTATCCAACAGAAGAAAAAAAAAAAGAAAAGAAAAGAAAAGTAACCTAAAAAAGAATATTTATTCTGAAAACAAAGGTACACCTCAACGCATACGAGGACACAATCACATCCCCTCCACCTCTCCACCACTTTCATCTCACCTATATAAATACCTCAGCTCCCGAAAATTCAAAAACAGGACTAAAACAAAAGAGAAACAAAAACCCCATCCCTCTACAACAACAAAATACTCATCCCAGCAATAACCCCCGCCACAACCCCGGCACCAACCCTAACCATTCCAAAATCTACCGCCGGCACAGCCCCAACACTGGCAGCCCCCTTGGACGTCCCTGCTGGCCCGCCCGGTCCAGACGTGACAGTCCCCTTCCCATTCGCACCAGCCTGCTTCATTAAATCCGCACAAGTTCCAGTCGCCTGAGTGGGCTTCTGTCTCTGAGCAGCTCCCTTAAAGTCACACGCGCTATCACCGTTCCCAGCCTTTGCCTGCTGCTGGTAATAAGAGTCGAAGGCAAAGGAGAGCTTTTCGCGCGGGTTGCACATGCTGTAGGCACCGTAGACGCCATTTTCGGGTTCGATGGAGATACCGTCGCAGACGCCCTTGCCTAGACCGCAGACTGTGTTGAAGTTATCGCCCAGTTCTTCCGTGTCGAGAGAGTCTTTAGCAACGCATGAGAGAGACTTGACCATGCAGCCACATAGATATTTGTTTGGGGTTGGGGGGAGGGAGCGGTTAGCTTTCCATGAGGAGCCAACGGCAGGGCAGGTTCGGAGTTCAGTGTTTTCAACCTTGTAGTCGTTCATGTTGACGCCTTTGGGGTTGACTTTGGACATTTGGTCCTTAAGGTTCTTGAAGTCGGGGCGGCCTTTGGCGGTGTTGCCGTTGATATCGACCAGACCTATTTCTTTCGTTAATTTTGCTGACCACGACGGAGAATATGGGGTTACCAGAGGGAAAAAGGCATACCGTAATTGTTATCCTCCTGGAAATACATGTAGACGATACCTCCGCTGACAACGGGAGTCATCTGGGGGCCATAGAGAGCAGCTACCTCAGTGAACTTCCGTGGGCGAACGACGTTGCAACCATACTCAGCAAAGAAGACGGGGACAGAGTAGCTTGAGAATTCCTTCACGACGACATCGTATCCGGACTCCTTGAAGCTAGAGTCACCACACCACGAATAGATATTGTAACCCCAGAAGTCAATAGACTCAGCACGGTTATTGCAGTTGAAGTAATTAGACATATCCTGACGGATATCGGCGTCGTCGTTGGTCGCATAGCCGACACCAATTTCACGATAGCCCTTCTTCTTGATATAGGCCTTTGAGTCGCGAACGGCAGCCTTGACGAATGCACTGGCTTGGGTGTTGGACTTGTTGTTGGAAACTTCGTTCCCGGCGAAGAAGCCCAGGACGTTGGAGTAAGGGGCGAGGGTATCGATGACGGCTGTGTAGCGGGCATAGAGATCGTCGTCCCATTTTGGGTCGTCACGGTTGATGGAGAGGTCTGGCTCGGACAGATCTGCAACGACGTAAATGCCAGCGTTTTGGAGGAGTTCCATGCACACTTTGTGATCTTCCTTGGGGTTAATGGCGTACACCCTGATGGTGTTTGTCCTCAGTTCTTGGAGGAGGGGAACATCACGTTTGCAAGCCTCAGCGTTGGCCAGGGGGTCCTTGTAGCCGTTTTCGCTGGTGGTGCCATTGCTGGAAATTTCCTCTGTATGAGAGAAGAAGTCAGTGGTGGTCCTCCTCTTGGGGAAACTTTTTTTTAACTATTGAGTCATTTGTGGGTTGAAGCTCACGTTGGTATGCAACACCGCGCATGAAACTGGAAAATGGTTCAGTCAGCAAAGTCACATCCACACAAACACACACATACACACACATACACACACATATATATATAGTAATATATATACATACCCCCGGAATGAATAACTCACAATTCGGTGCCATTTGTTTTGTAGAAGAATTTGGAACCCTAGAGTCATAGGAGGCCCTCGGTTAGACAATACAAGGCACCAAACATGTACTGACAGATAGATAGATTATATAAATACCTTGATGACAATAGGATCCAGGTCAGCCGCGAGCCCAGTGCCCGCGAGAGCCGCACCCGCCAGGACAGAGGAGAACTTCATAGTTGCAATTAAAGGCTAGGAACCAGCCCAATAGCAATTGCGATTGATATAAGCAGCTGCAGACAATGTATGTTATACATGCAGCGAAGCTTTTAATCAAGGAAAAGACAACGGAGACAGGTGAAGGAGAGAGGTTAGAGAGGTTGGAGAGGTTGGAGAGGTTGGAGAGGTTTAGAATTAAAAAGGAGAACAGGACAGTCGGATGTAGTTTACATAAACAAGAGCGAAGTAGAAGGGAGTCGAGGGAGTCGAGGAAGTTGCACCTGAGATGACAATGAAAAAAAATAATAGTTATTAAAAATTAAAATGGGGGAAGGAGGGAAGATGAGATCTGATATTTCCAGAGAGAACGCAAAAAGGGGAAAGAGACAACAACCTTGGGAGGAGGAGCCCTTGGAACGAGAGACTGAGGAAGAGAAGGAGCGATAGATAATAGAGAATAGAGAATAGAGAAGGAAGGAACGAGAGACCGACCCGGTGAAGATGAAGAAAAGTTGAAGGAATAAAGTTAAGAAAAGGAACGCATCAAACAACCCCTTCTCATCGCTTGTGCAATTGACCCGGGAGCGTGTTGCCAGCTGCGCTTTGAGCACCTGGGGGCAACAACCTAGGGAAAGGGGACGGAGCCCCTTAGTCAGCAGAGGGACGGGGCTAACCCTTAGATGGGAGGATGATCTGTTGTGCGCATCGCTGCAGCCGGGCGAATGACACGCCGCGCGGTTGAACATGGGTTGGCTGGTTTTACGTATGCCCCTGCAAACCAATGATCATCCAATGACAATCCCAATAATCCAGTACCTGAGACACTCGAGGCAAAAAGGGGGGTTGATAATTCATGCTGTTTCTATGGAGCATTGCTCTCCTATGGTTTGCCAAAGTGCTCCGTAGTAACTGACTAGTTAAGTTAGTTAGTAGTTAGTTATCTCCTTTACATAAAATGATAATAATCCATTGGAATCCCGCCGCTCCCTTACCGAAACAACCGCCTTCCAACTGAAAGATCATTCATAATGCCAACCCCGAGTTCCTGACTGGCCAAAGCCGTTTCCTTGCCATCAGCCACCTGAGGTAAATTTCATCCCCCCTCATAAGCCCGTCGATCTGATCTTCGCTTTCTCGCAGCAACCAGCAAGCACCATCCCGCGGCCTGTAGTGCATAACTTTTCCGGATGGATCTCTGTTCTTGCCACTGCTAAAAAGTCATTCAGCTGATGGCGAGGCACTGACTGACCACACTGGTGCTGATTGGGAGAAGTTGTGGGTTAAAAAAATTTGAGCGCCAGAGTGCACTGCCACTACCACGGTCGAAGCGGGAATGGTCTAGTGAAATGGAGAGACATTTTGTTCAAAAATTTATTATTTCTTTATCCTTCAGGGGGAAAGGGGAGATGTATTTCTTTGTCTGCAGAAGTATCTGAATAAGAGCCACCCTTACTTTCTCCGTGGTGGTTTGCTGTGTATATGCCTCAGTTTATTTACAGTTTGCCTGTTGAGGGAATTCTGGGATTCTGGTAAGTTTACAGAGTATGACGTAGGTTACGGGATGCTCCGGGATGTTCCATGTTTTATATCAAATGTTAATTCTGGATAAAGTACGGAGTAAAATTTCCCAAAGGTTGTTCCCGAATGTATATCGAGAAGAAGCTTTTGTCAGTATTATCTCTCCTACTATCCGTATGCCCCCCTTATAAACTGGCCAGACTGAGATGCATATGTCACACCCATTTCATTCCATACGGAAAGTTGGAACTGATTCTTGTGGATATTAAGTATTGCATGTCCTGCAATTTCCCCTCATGCCTGATGTGACATTAATAGTAATAACTAACTAAGCCTTTCAGAGTCCAACTTACAGGTTTCAAAAGAGCGCTCACAGTCATAGTTCTACAAGTATCAAGACAGATTTTCCCCTTGTATCCTCTCGTGTCCTTTTTTTACTTTCTTTTCTTTTCTGCACTTGACTTGAGGTAGTGATAATATAACCGATATACCATTCATATACTTACATTTCTCCCCCAAAATGCTCCCGTCTAAGAATCTGTGACTGTGGACTGTGACATGCTATTTATTTTATTTCATTCACCGTATCTCATCCTCATGCCGATAAGAAAATTCCCATACAAATGATACTCATATATATAATTTCATGTGTTCATATTCTACGTTCTTAAGATAAAATATACACCATAGCTTCATCATGCTCCTAAGTTACATATGTGCAAAATACCTCCTGTGCACAAATAGTTATGTTACTTTATTCATCAAACGTCCCTTAGTTGACTACACATTGGGTATAAAGTAGCCGAGACCTACCTAAATATATAAGGGAGGACACGTGACCATGGTGGACGTGGTATTCACTGATACTTAGCTGTCACTGTCGCATCCATCATTATAATTAACTACCCTACCTTATTCAACCTGTAAGCGCAAAACCCGTCCGCCAGTTTTTCCTGTTGGTCAGAAATCTAAAACAGGATCATCATCATTCAATATTACCCCCGAGCGGGGCAAAGCAGGATTAAGGAACAAGGGCTCTATATATCTCTGGGACTGGGGGTGAGTGATACGGTCATCTCAAGTCCTTTTCCTTCGGAAGGTTCCTTGAATGTATTCCGGAATATTGTTGCCGGAGAACTAAATTTTCTACCACCCCGTTCAGATGAGGAATAATATGTTACATGAGGGGTTGGAGGGGCGGAGAGGCGGACAGTTGAACGGGGTTTTAAAGCCGTGCGGTAAAAACCTTCGGTGAGGTTTATGCTATCATGACGCCCTCCCATTAAAAGTACATTTCTCTATATGCTCTTGATGGTAATGCTTTATCATATTCCTCACGTCCTTACCCGTAACTAATCCAATCTTAGCCTCTAATCTCACCTAATATATCCATAACCTACCCCTCTAACCCTGGTGCCAAGGGCATTGAGTTTGATTAGGGATGTACAAGTGACGTTCTCTGAAAACTCACCCAAGAGAATTCTAAAACCGAGAAAAAGAGAGAGTTAACATGATTAGAATAGCCGTATTGTTCCCTTATTACTGAGCACTTAAACTGCGTTTATTTTATATAGTTAATTGAGTGGGCCGCCAAGTTCAACTGGAACCCTGAGGCGTATGTACTCCGTATTGTAATTAAAATAAGATGACTTGGCGGTAATTCAAGTGTAACGTATTTCACCACATGCTCGGCCGCTTTGTACCATCACCCTAATTTAGTATGAGAGACTACCCTCTAAGTCAAAACACAACAAGGTAATTTCCCATAGTAAATTAGTATACTGGTACACAGTGGCTGAGTTGGTGGTACGACTGAGCAGGTGATAAATTACATCAACTAACAAGTTAGTTAAATAAGATAACTAGTATGAATGACATAATGTTATGACTGAGATAACTAACCAATTAACTAATGTAATTAAGTTAATATTTGATATTATAGGAGTCTCGATTATTACTCCGTCGATATATCTGAGATATATCTTCTTAACATACAGCTTTCTTCGGGAATGAAACAACTGCAGAACCGGACACAACATAACAAAATATAAATTTCTTTCCGCCTTTTCTGTCCAATTCAGGTTTATCAGCAAGCGTTCCAAGATACAGCACATTCAAATACAATTATCCCGCGATCTTCAGTCTCATCCCAACCACCACAGTGCCAGCCCCACGAGTAGAATGAACAAGCGGGGACTCCGTTGCATCGCCCCAATGCAGGTACTCTACAGATGTTCTGGAAGGACCACTCAGCGCCATCCACATTGCCCTGCGCTTTAGTATTGCTTTTTCTTCTCCTTTTTCTTTATTTATTTTTGAGATGCTACGTCAGAACTCAGGCGTCAGGCATCCGCACAGGGCGTCTGCTTGCGGATCTAGAACGGGAAAACATCTGATTGGGAGGCCGCCTTGAGTTGTTCAGAAGCGACAAGTTAAACCGTTGGGATACGTTGCGACGGATACGTTGCGACTTGCTTTGGGGGTGAATATACATGTCTTCAATATTATAATATATTGACGAAATTAATTTTTGTCTCTTGTTCCGGGCACCCGAGAGCTTTTGGGGTAAAATCTGGGGTTACAGGAGAGAGAGTGCTGTCCAGCATTGATATCAGAACGATCCACGGATGTGCTTCAGCGTTAAAATGCATTGGCTCAGGTTTTGCGATACCTAGGAACCATTGGCTGGGATGTCCTTGACACCGTGGCATATATCATTCTTGCAACTCCTGCACAGATATGCAGATGATGCTGACACCTTTTTCCTTGATTCTTCCTTTTTTTTTAATTTTTATTTTTTTATATATTTTTTCTTTTGGGCAATTGAGCTGCTGCAAGATGCAATGCTTGAATACAAAAAACATCTCATTAAAATTGAATTTGAAGCCAAGTGAATCGTATTTCTTATTTAAGCCAAGTAAATTCTTATCCAATTGAGTTGCGGCAATCTTAATTCCCCTCCAAAATATGACAGTGTTGATATCCATGGAGTACGTCAGCTGAATTGTTGACGAAAGAGCCAAGGTGGCGAAGTATTTATTGTAAGCTATCTTGTAATTTAACAGCTTACATGGGGGAAGGGTTAACGCCTTGATGCAGCTGTGTCGGTGAAATGTTAAGGATTCGAATGCCCAGGTTCCTACTGTTCAACTGAAACAAGAACATTAAAATTACTCTTTCTTCGCCTCTCACTATGTATTAGTTCAAAGGGTTAGGAGTCTAAGGACATAATAATAAGATTTGATGGGAAGTATAAAATTCCGTAAAGCATCAGATGAATGGGCAGAGGAGGCCGAGGGGTCTGGGGTATTTTAATTTTGGTCTTCGATATCTGATACCATTTGAGCCCGTTAACACTTGCCTGGATCGGCTGCATGATATATATTATTGATTCAGGAACAAGAAAACTTCGCATATGATTGTCGAGGGCCCAAAAAATAGAAAAGAAAAAAAAAAAAAAAAGGAAAGAAAAGCCAAGATTATCTCTCTTGTCTTTTGTC